CGTTTGTAGAGAGAGAGAGAGAGGGGCTGCTGACTATTGGGGTTTCTGTAGAGAGAAAGAGGGGGCGGTGAATATTGGGGTTCCTGGAGAGAGAAAGAGGGGCGAAGGAAGAAGAGGGCTTCTGTAGAGAGCCAATGATGGGGTTTCTGTAGAGAGAAAGCGAGATGGGTCAGGGGAGAAGAGGGCTTCTGTTTTAGAGAGAGAGAAGAGAGCGACTACAGTACTCATCGAGATAGAGAGAGTACAAAATTATGATCGCTCTTTTGAATTTCTTCTGAAAGACGCGCCCACGATATCGCCACCGTTAAAAATGCTCCCTATGATCCGACCCATTCGGTGCACCCCCTTGGCTTACACGAGATTGCTTACGCTAGGATTTTTTTTTTTTAAAAAAGAGGCCATTTATCTGAAAAAGTTTATATAAGGTTGCAACTTTAAAATGTAGAATTAAAGATACATCTCAAAAATTTAACTTTTATATATTTAATAGTTGAAGGTTGTCATTATTTTGTCTCTTAAATTTTAAAAGAGGTGAGCAAGATTGTCATTAAATAGATAAAAAGTTAAAAAACAAAAATAGACTATATATATAGTTTGTTATTTTTTAGATTATATATATATATATTCTTTTCTTTTTTTGGTGAACTCCGAGAACAAACTAACTTCATGTGAAATCAACGGAAAAAAATATTATATTACAAATAAACCCATGTTGCGAACTAACCCAAAAACCATACCATTCACAAGCATGATGTAGCATACTTCTTTTTCTTTTCTTTTCTTTTTTTGACTTGGTGGGAGAATTGAACCTAGGACTTAAAGTTGCAAATCGTTGAGCGTTAACTGTTAACTGATCACATATCACACATGTCTAAAACATCAATCTTAACAATAATAATAATGCTCTAAGTAAGTTCTTATTGCAAAAAATAATAATTCTCTAATTCAGCTTTTTTTTAATTCCATTTAAAAATTTGAGAGACGCAAAGGGTTTTAAATTGTAGTGGTAGGCTAGGACAGTCACCACGGAAGAAAATGGGATGTATTTTGAGGAGAAGCAGCAGCTGATGGTGTTATTTTTTTGGGTGCGGTTTGTATAGTTCTAAACAATCAAATTAGAGCCTAACCTTCAAATAGCATCGAGAAATGTTGTTTTAATATTGGAAATCTTTGTGATAGCTTTAAAATATCTTTTTATATTTATTTATAAAGTTGAAAGCTTGAAAAATTGTGTAGATCGACAGATCTATGAAAACTTGAAAATTAACGGTCAAAAAATGTGTTACAAAATACACTATTTTTAAAACTTGAAATCTAGTTTTTTCTCATGTTCGTGCTTTTTGATGTCGAGATGATCAATTTGAAGATATTTGAAAAACAAAACAACTTCTTATAGTGAAGTATTTTAGACAGGTTCAAATTTGATTGTTTAAAGCGTCGGCTCTATATAAACTTTTCCCTGATGAACTATAATGTATAATTTTTAAATATTGTTGATTTACATGTATTGTTATTGGGATGCGCAGCTCGCGCCACACTCTCACATAATGTAAGTTGAATAAATAATAACGTAAAAAAGAAGGTGGACGCAAGAAGAAGCGAGAGAGAGCGAGCGGCACCGCCCAAGGCATGGTAGGTGCAAGTGCGATAACGCTCAATTGTGTCCCTCTTCCCAATTACGATGAGCAGAAGAGAAAGTTGAAGAAAGTCAGGAGAAGGGTGGTGGTGATTCGAGGGGCTCTGGTTGAGACCAAGGCCAGGCCCCTCCCTTCTTCTTCTTCTTCTTCTTCTTCATTGGAGCTCCCCACCACCAGTAACAGTAGTAATTATTATGCGGTGGTGAAGAAGAGTGTTAGGGGTCGATCCGATGAGCGGCAGGCGGAGACCAGGGCATTGGCGAGAGCGGTGGGTGCTTCCGTTTACAACCCCGAGCTCTTGGCCAGTAAGTATGGCTCTCAACCCCTCAAGGTGAGTTTCCATCCATTTCTCATCTCTCCCCCTTCCCTCTCTCTATATCTCTCTAAGTTCTGAATGTCTGTTTGTTTATTGATGAGTGCGAATTCCCTCCCTCGACTCAACATTTATTTATTTATTTATTTATTTCTGTTATGAAAATGGGTTATCCAATATGTCCATCTGTCCTTCTTGTTTCTTTGTTAGTATGCGTTGTTTGTGTTTTATTTTGGATTCAACGTATGCCCCGCCTCTCTCACTCTCAAAATATGTCTGTCTTTGTGGGATTTAGGATTTAATTGAACAAGTTCAAAATTGGGGTTGTCCCAACCCCCTTCTTCTCTCTCACTGTATTTAAAAATTTGATTCGACAATGAATTCTTTATTCTGTTGTTAGGTGTTGAGGAGGGCTCTAGGGATACTGATATCTCTTGGGGGTTTTTCCCTCAGCCTGTTCTTGGATCAAAGGAGGGGTCAGCTGGATAGCAACAAGAGGCTCAGAGCTGTTGAGCTCAGAAAAATCTTCACAAGATTGGGTCCCACTTTTGTAAAAGTGGGGCAAGGATTGTCCACCAGGCCTGACCTATGCCCACCAGAATACCTCGAAGAGCTCTCGGAGTTGCAGGTGAGACTTCCTTTTCCCCTGAAATTTAGTATCATTCCACCCATGATAACCTCTTTATGTTTTTCATGGGGGTATTCAAACTCATTCATGAAATTCATCCTTCTTTTAGTTTCTATTGAAAGCTAGAGATCAACAATTTATTCTTCTTCTTGTTATTTCTTCAGTAAGTTTTTATTCTTCTTCTTGATTGAGCAGGATGCTCTACCAACATTTCCAAATGCAGATGCATTTTCTTGCATCGAGAAGGAGTTGGGTATGTCTCTCGATTCCATATTTACGGTCATATCCCCTTCACCTATTGCTGCAGCAAGTTTAGGCCAAGTTTACAAGGCACGACTCAAGTATTCTGGGCGTACTGTTGCCGTGAAGGTGCAGAGGCCTGGAATTGAGGAAGCCATTGAACTGGACTTCTACCTGGTCAGGAGTCTTGGTTTCCTCATAAATAAATATGTGGACATATTCACCAGTGATGCTGTTGCCCTGATCGATGAATTTGCCAGAAGAGTTTACCAGGAGCTTAACTATGTGCAGGTATTCGTTTTCTCGTTATTTCTCATCAGATTCATCTCTTCATCGTTTGGTACTTGGTTTCAAGGTACCAGGATACTGCACCAAGAAACTTGTGTTCTCTTACGTTTCGTTATTCAATGATCAAGGGATTCAAAATAACGGTTCTATCATAGCTGGTACTTGTCTGAGCAAAGGTATTTTATTTGTTTTTTTTCTTTTTGTGAGGATCATACATTACTTTTATGCAGGAGGGTCAAAATGCTCTGAGATTTAAGAAGTTGTATGCAGACAGGGAAGATGTACTCGTCCCCAACATTTACTGGGATTATACAAGCACCAAAGTGTTAACAATGGATTGGGTGGACGGTATCAAACTGAACGAACAGGCAGCCATCGAGAGGCAGGGGTTGAACCTGCTGGACCTTGTAAACACAGGCATTCAATGCAGCCTAAGACAGCTGCTTGAGTATGGTTATTTTCATGCAGACCCCCATCCAGGCAACCTTCTGGCTACACCCGAGGGGAAACTTGCGTTTCTCGATTTTGGAATGATGAGTGAGACTCCAGAAAAAGCGAGATTTGCCATAATCGGTCATGTTGTTCATATGGTGAATCGGGATTATGAAGCCATGGCTCGTGACTACTATGCCTTGGATTTCTTGTCACCTGATGTAGATGTGTCTCCCATTGTGCCGGCACTCAAGAACTTCTTTGATGATGCTCTCAATTCAACCGTCAGTGAGCTCAATTTTAAAACTATTGTGGATGGGCTGGGGGCTGTTCTATACCAATACCCATTTGATGGTGAGTTTCCTACGTGTGACTTTGAAAGGCATTACATATCTTGTTCAATCAGTATTATAGAAGAAAAATAAATTATATTACTTCACTAGTGTGACTGTGATCTTTGAATGTTTGACTGTTTGATACAACCTTTTTCTGACACAATAATAAATGTGCAGAGCTCACGTAATATGCAACAGTTTCAGTGTGGTAGAAAACCCAATGGGTATCTTGAGTGACCACAATGACAGGATGTTCCTCACTCACATGAATGAAATTTGATTAGTTAAATATTTAAATTTTGAATAAATCTATGATCAACTACTGTTCAGGATGCATTATTAGACTCTGAACAAAACTCCAGTGAACTTTTGAAATGTGGATGGTTAGGTTTCTGATGTTTTATGAATGATACACTTTGGCATCCCAGCCTCAATTTTATTCTGCTGCAGTTCCAAAACAAATTTTGGCTTCAGCCCTATTATGCATCCTATCTTATAAATTTTATGTATACTTGCTGTTTCAGGTTCAGAAATGAGTCCATGCGTTTTTTTATGATAAGTGATAACATCTCATCTGTAATTTTCTGGGGAACAAGATATATCTATTCTATTTTTCTTAACACTTTCAAAAAAAAAAAATTTCTGTTATCTCGTTTTCATTTGGTTATTTGAGGTGCTAATAGAACCCTGAAAATTATCTTGCAGTTCCTGCATATTATGCATTGATATTGCGGTCCCTCACAGTACTGGAAGGCTTAGCTCTTTATGCTGATCCGAATTTTAAAGTGCTTGCTGCATCATATCCTTACTTTGCTAAAAGGCTCCTCACAGATCCAAATCCATATCTGAGGGATGCTTTGCTTGAGTTGCTGTTCAAGGATGGTAGATTCAGGCAAGTGAGCTTTTCTTTTTTAATGAATAATTATCACTTTTTTTTTCCCAAGTTATGGGACACAAACGGCCACATGATTTCAATGGATTTATTTAACTTTAAATTGGAGTGGCATCAGTTTGTGTGGTTTATACTTAATGTGTAGTTTTAATATGGATTTTTTTTATGTTCTTACTGGCTCTATTAATGTAGGTGGAATAGACTTGAAAACCTACTTGTTCAAGGAAGCAAGGATAGAGACTTTGCTTCTAAAGAGGCTTTACAACCTATTGTAAAGCTCCTATTGAGCCCTGATGGAGAAGAGCTTCGAAGTTTAGTCATCAAAGAGGCTAGTCGAGTTTCTGAAGCTGTTGTTATAGGTGCTGCCTTTGATGGTTACAAATCTTTACCTGAGCCCATGAGGAATTTAATTGCTAATGGTAATCCAGTGGGGTCCCTTAGAATGAACGAGAATGAAGTAGCAGACATGCTTGATCTTCGTGATCGAATAATTCGGATATGGAGCCTTTTGCAGTCCTCAGAGGGCTTTAATCCTGCCCTTTTGCAGCCAATTGTGCAGGTACACAAAGCAAACTTATTTTTCCAACATAGCTGCAATACCCCACAAAAACTTCTTTCCAAAGCAAAACTTCAGAATATCTTTATTGCAATCAAAGACTAAACTCCTCAGCAATTTATATTATATTTGCAATGGGTTAATGCTAATTTATTTTTTAGTAGCGAATTAATTGAAAATTAGTTCAAGTAGTCAATGATGATGAAGACCATAAAGGAAGTAGGGATACTAAAACATGGTGAAGACCATGAGGGAAGTAGGGATACTAAAAATCATTGTAATGGGACATGCACGGCCTATACAGGCAAAATATGAAGAAGGTGATGATGAAGAAGACAATAGGTAGTTGCTTGCATTTGGGCTGAGGTGAGTATTTTGCTTTGCTGGGTCAAGGAATGTGACCCATGGGGGTGCAATGTGGTGGGCATTGGCAAGTGAAATAAAGTGGTTGTGCTATCAAGATGGGAAGGCAATGGGTCGAAAAATATGAAAGAGATTTGTCTCCACATATGATTTGTCTCAACCAAGCGCAAGACCTTCACCAAGGGAAGAAATACTAATATCACATGCTTCACATCACGCCAAAAATATTTCGAAAGAATAATATCTCGTGTCTTCTTTCCCTTAACTTCTCTAGACCACTTACACCTACTCTACTCTTCTAAAGCAAACATAGACCTTAATGTGATCCTCCTCTTATACATGCTCTATAGACTAAGGTAGGCAGTGGCAAATCTAGTGACCTCAGGCCTCACTAGCTCTCTCTTTTTTGTAAACTTGCGCATCATGCTAAGGGTAAGTATGTGACTGTATATGAAGATTGTAACCTCCTTAGCCTTAAAAATAATTCCTTTAATAGGAAACAATTCACCAATTGCCTCAAGCATAAGATCTACGCAATGTGCAGCGCAAAGAGTCTAAAATATGCGAGGCCTCTTTTGTCGAAGCAAATGACCTAGCTAGATTGGGAGTAGCATTATCTATGACCACTTGAATTACATGTTCCTCCTCAACCTCTTCAATACCCTTATCAATGAAAGAAAATATATAATACGCATCATGAACATCATTGGAAGCATCGATTGAGCGCAAAAAAACTGTACCCGTGGGACAATTTACCTATCTTTATTAAGACGGGCCAAAAATTAAAGATAGATGGAATAATATAAAAACAAAAAATTGTACAAGATGCACAAACTTAATAAAGATACATACATGCCACACAAGTAGATTAAGCACATCAATTTAAAGTATTTTTCTGTGATGAAAAAACAATTTAGAGAGAAGCCCAAAATTTGAGCATAGTGTGGGAAAACCCAAAATTAGGACACATTTTGGGAATGCCCAATATTAGGGCACAATGTTGAGAGAGAAAGAGAGAATTTTCAGTCAGGGAAAAATTAGGGCACTATTTGGGTCTTTGGGAGGCCAAACTTAGGGCATTGTTTGGGCCTTTGGGAAGCCCTAAATTAGGGCATAGCTGCGCAGGACTTTAGAGTTAGGAGGGGAGAGAGAGAGATATGCATGGGGACTTAGGAGGGAGAGAGAGTACCTGTAATTTGGGCCGTTGAGAAGACGAAGTTGGAGCACACTGTAAAATAGGTGCAAAAGCCAAAGACATTTAACTCAAGGTTAAAACTTTTTAGTTTTTACCTTATAAGAGAGAAACAAAAACATTTTTGCCTGAGAGAGAAAGAGAGAGAGAGAGAAAATCATTTTTGCCCTCCATGTCTTCGATCAAAGTGTTGTTTTTCGGCCAAATCTACCCGAAACAGTTGAAGCAAGCCGAATCTGGCTGAAGTTGATGCTTTTTTCTTCCTTTTGCTTGGGTTTAAAGTGAAAAACCAAAGGCTTAAGCCTCTTCCGCCGCAGCGAAGTGAATTTAACAACATTGGGGGATAAGATGAGGGAACTAGACTTAGGAGGGTTGGCCATGTGCAGCGTCGACCTAGAACAACACTGGTTTAGGAGGGATGATTTGGTTCTAGTGGAAGGCTCTAAAAGGGCGAGGGGAAGGCCCAAAAGGATATGGATTGAAGTAGTAAGAACAGATATGGTGACTTGTGGTCTAACTGAGAGTATGACCGTTGATAGAGTATACCGGCGGAACAAGGTTTGGACAGCCTACCCCAAATAGTAGGGATAAGGCTTGGATAATGATATGATGATTCGCTCCAAGAATCATCCACAATTCGGGTGAGTCAACTCGGTAAGTTTTAAATTGACTCACCTGGTTGTTGCCCAAGTCCAAGGAACACCAATGAAAAAATTACCCAAAAAGGGGAAAAACAGGTATAATGAATTATATTTTTGAGAGCTTCAGATCTAGTTGATCCAAGGTCTCAAATATTCAAACAAACCCCAATTAGACATTATAAATCTCACAGATCTGAGATTTTTTTTTTTTTTTTTTAATCCAAGGCTTAGATTCCATAGAGGACACAAAGTAGACCTAGGGACAAGTTCCCAAGGTTTTCGAGGCTTGGGTTGCAAAGAAATTGCAAGGATGGGCAGTTAGATTTCCACCCCCTTCTATTTCGAACTTGGCGAGTCCTGTGAGACTCACTTGAGTCTGACAAACTGAGTCACTAGTTGGGGGCTGGTTCTAGTTGACCTGGCTGAGTCCTAGTTGGACTCAGTGAGTTCCAAATCACTAGTCTTGTCAAAAAAAAATGCACCATTCAATGGAAACCTAACTAAATATCCCCTCGTAGGGAGGGTGAGGGTGCCATATTAGTACTCTCTCCATGATGAGGGTAACTTATGAGTGATAGCTCCCACTTGGAAAGCCTTACTCAACTTCCCTCCACATCACTCCCGCTCCCATTTGGAAAGCCTCACTCAACTTCACTCCGAAACTTTTAAGTTCACTTACAATAAGCTGCAACTCATATACTTGACTAAGTATGGGCTTATTTTCAGTGAATTTAAAGTCAAGATAATTGGAAATAAAAAACCTTTGGTCACCTGACTCCTCAGTCTTGTATTTGATTTCCAAGTCTTTCCATACTTCCTTTGTTGTGGATAAAGACCCATACATGTCGAAGATGGGGTATGTGAGTGTGTTGAGGATGTGTCCTTTGCATACTAAGTCATCCTCCATCCACTTCCAGCGAAGTTTGAACTGCTTCTCTCGTTGTCGTGCTTGTTCCACCGTCTCTCCTTGTACTTGTGGTGGCTTCTCAGGCATAGGTTCGGTGAGAACATAGGCGATTTTGAGAGTAGTCAACAAAAATAGGAGTTTTTATTGTCATCTCCAAAAGTTTGATCCATCAAACGATCTTTGTTTACAGCTTTAAAAGACTTCATGTTCCACTCAGAATGTTGTCTGGGATTGTTGGAAATAGAGGGTCAAACCGAGGGGGGAATATAAGGATATAGAAAACAAAGGTTGTTTCAATCTCTTTGATCATAGGCGCGATATATCGCTTTCTCAAGACAACATTTGCCCCTTACTGATCAAAAATCAGCGTGCACTTAAGTTTCTATCAGGCAAATTTGTCCTTGGGATACATAGGAGCAGAGGATTGAAGTTGCCTTCTTTTTAGAGAGAGAAAGCTCACAAACACACTTAGGAGAACTGTATTGCTTCTTGTGTATCAAAATAGGAGGAAACACGTCCATATATATAGAGAGATAAAGTGTTCTTTCACTTTCACATATGATCTCAAAAGTCAAGAGTTGCAGCTATTGAAATCTAAACCGTCAATGTGGTGCATAACTTGCATGCAACAGTCACACGGTGACTCTTTGGGTTCTGGGAAAGTAACCGCCACAATGATCACATGTGCGTCCACAATTACACAGTGTCTTTTGGGTTCCAGTGACGTAACCGTCATACATCTATCGGAGGGGCACAATCACCGGAGCGCACCAATCCATTGCAGGACACACTATATGTGCGTCTTCACGAGCAAGGCTCTGTTCACCAGAGTGCATCTAACCACCATAGTCTCAATCTACCGGAAGGCCTTTAGATATTAATCCATCGAAAGGGTTATATGCATGCGACTATCTATCCATCGGAAGGCTTGTATGCCTACGACCACCTATCCACCGAAACACAATCCACCGAAAGGCTTGTAGTGGCAAAAAGTTGGACGAGCCACGACTTGGGATGCGCACGTGCTAGGACGAGGGGCGCCTTATGTGCCGATGCGAGCGTGCGTAGTGCAAAGTGCACCATCAAGCGCCCTCGCCCTTGCCTTTTCCCTTGCCCTCACCCTCGTCCTCGCCCTCGCCCTCGCCCTCGCCCTTGCCTATGCCCTCACCCTCGCCCTCGCCCGTGCACGTGCACGTTCACATGCTACATGTGCTCTGTATAGGCCTTCTCTTCTTTTGGTTCTTAGAACACAAGTGAACAAAATATTCTCATATATAAACAAGCTTTCCCTCTTCCACATCGTCAATGTAGATAAATAACCCATCACTTATCTTTGTACACATATAAAACGAACCCACATTTTCCAAAGCTTTACACTTTCCAAAACACTATGGAACAAGAGGGTCATTATTTTGAAATAACATAAAGTATTCTCAAAAGCCAAAATACAACAAAATGTGCCTTCTATAGAGGTTGGTGGCTAGTGTAACGTGAACACTTTGCACTTTACTTGGTATCGTGTGTCAACAACACATGTCGCTTAGACACGTGTCGATACGCACAGACCGTCATAGACACTTGTCGTGTGTGCGTGCGTGCGTGTGTGGGTGGGTGTGGGTGTGGGTGTGGGTGTGGATGTGGGTGTGGGTGTGGGTGTGGGTGGGGTGGGGGGCATGTCATGCGTTCAACTAAGGCCCAGCTCTAGTCATACTTGCGTCCTTGTTATTCATTTAGCATTTTCTTAAATTGCATGTATGGTGTTTTGTATGTGGAAATTAACAGTCATAAGAATTTAGATGATCGACTTAATGGCAATAGTTAATTGTATTGGATTAGGTCCGCATATATTGCTCTAATATGGTTGCTAATTTTGGGTGGTGTGTCGAGAGTAACCCAACAAAATTTAGTTGTGTAAATAGTAATTCTCTAGTTCCACTGTTCAAAGATTCTGACCATGAAGCACATGAAGAAATTTGCGCAAGTGTTGGCCATTAGATGTGGAAAGGATGGTAGCCTTGGTGAAATTTTTCATGGGTTTTTACATCAAAGAAAGAAAATCCAGGGACTTCATCATGAAAAAGAATCATGGTGATTACCAATAATACAGTTATTACATCAAAGAAAGAAAATCCAGGGAGTTCATCATGAAAAATAATCATGGTGATTACCAATAATACGAAATCACCATTAAGTATCCTTGGTAATAATAGATAGTGATACCAAAGGGCAATTCCCTTCCAATATGTGCCCATGAGGCTTATTTCTACCAAGTGTTTCATGATTCTTTTGATTTTTGAGCAAGTTGAAAATTTGTTGTAGAATGTGATGAGAGAGGACGAGTTTGCTTGCTATCGGTCTCTAATGTGTGTGTGTGTGTGAGATAGACTGCTTTCTTCTCGCGTTACGAATCTGATCTTTAAACTTGGCATCATCATGTGCAGGTCCTCCAAGAACCCGAAGCTCGAAACCTTGGGGGCCGTGTTGTCGAGGGAGTCACGCAACGGCTTGCAGCACGGTTACTGCAGCAACTTCTCCGGCCCCCACCCACAGCCCAGTCGTAATACATGTACGCATTCTCATCTTCATCATCGTCTCCATCTTAAGGAGGTCGTTACAGTAAATGTTCAATCAATGTATGCCATTCTTGGAACAATGAAGTCTCCATTCTTTATTCAATCATTTGTAGATCTGACCCAGAAAAGATTTCCAAAGGTGTTCAGGCATATGTAGGAATGAGTGTGTGTGTGTGTGAGAGAGAGAGAGAGAGAGAGATTAAGCAAAAGCCGGTTGTGTAACCTTAAACTCTTTGATGTTCCTCATACACACATCCACTTAGAACCAGTTCGAACCAAACCCTAGTCGAAGGGAATTGGTGTAACCTTTAACTCTCTGTTATCAGCATGATCGATCTGTTTGGGGAATTTATGTGTCACAAAATGGGGAGGATAAGTATGGGAGTTTGAGACGAATGGGGTCTTCTCTATAAGATTGGTTTATTCTTTGCTTTTCCATGACCGGATTAGATAGTCAACCCAATTTGAACAAAAGCTGGAAGTGGACAGTCCCACATAAGGTCCAGGCCTTCATATGGACTGTGATGCAAGGTAAAGCTCCCACTATTGACAATCCTAGAAAGAGAGGTAATCTTATTGTTAATGTTTGTATTTTTTATGAAAATGATGAAAATGGAGATCATTTTTCTCTCTATTGCCGCCCTCTCTCTTTGGTGTTGGGCGATGCAAAAGTAGGAGTTTATTTTGCTCTTCCATCTTACCTATAGAGATATTTTGCACCAATGCAAGATTGGTGGCATGCCAAAGGTAGGAGGGGTGATTTGGGACATATTTCATGCTGCCAGGAACTGTGGTTTGAGAAGAATAGGAGAGTTTTTTATGGGAAGGATTAGCGAAGAGAATTCTTTATAAGGTGTGGAGCTGGTTTAATGAAGGAGAAAGTGTATCGATGGTGAATATTGAGTTGAATTTAAATAATCTTATTTTTATGAGGTATATCAAGGTTAGACCTGAGAGGTAGATGGGTGCCACTTGTGGAAGGCTGCTGTAATTTAAATTTTGATAGCTCATTTTTTAGAAATCCAGGTGGGGTTGGGGTTGGGGTTGGTGTTGGTGGTGTTTGTCGAGATAGTATGGGCAATATCTGTTTCACAGGCCCATGTTGAGAGGTCTCAACTAATCATATACTGAAATTACTGTGCTGCTGCAAGGAGTCCTTGTATGGAAGGAGAGGCAGTTGGGCAATGCCTTAATAATAGAAGGGGACTCATTGAATGTTTTACAAGGAGTCGTCTAGGCCGCCATGGATGCTTTGTGCATTGCGATTGTAGGTTATGGACTTAACCTCAGTCGGTGACTTTCCAATATGTGTATAGGGAAGCTAATGTAATTGCCATGGTTTGACAAAGAAAGGTTCTGTTCTCTATTTCTTAATTGTATTGTGTTTACTGTTATAATTGTTGAGATGTAATGTTCCAATTAATCAATAAAAATTAGTACTCATGTAAAAATAAATAAAAAATAGCACTAGAAGGCTTCCTTGATGCAAAATATTTTTGGAAAAATTATAAAAACCCATTTGATTCAACCTTTTTTACGACCTCTCCCAACTAATGCTTTTTTCGCAACTTTTACGTCAAAACAAATTTTTATAGCAAATACCTCCAAATAAAAAAATCATAGTTTTTGGGATCAAAATGCCCTCCCTTTAGTCGTTGAATGCATCCGACGCTTGCAAATGCGGTCCGGCAGATTGTTGATGTGGTTCGGTAGTTATGAAGCCTCCAGCACTTGTAAAGGGGTTTTTTAATAATTTTCCCAAACTTTTTTTTTATTTGGGAGTCATCATTCGGATAACGGCCAAAGGAGAGGAGAGCACTTCTCTCTGTAGAAGAATGGCGTGTTCATCTGTGAAATATCGAGAAAGCTCGAAGCCCAGAACGTGAACCAGGCGCCCCGTCCAGGGTCATCTTTGAAATATCGAAGCATAAAACATGAACGAGGCGCCGTGTCATCCGCTTATCCCTTTTGTCCATTGCGTTCAATTTGACCAAACTTTCGGCAGGCTTTCTCAATCAATCAACTGACCACTTTTCCTTATAAAATCTCAACCCTATTATTGGTGAACAATCAACTTCATTATATTTTTCTTTTTTTTTAAAAAAGCCAAATTATCAAAATACCTATACAAGATCATCAATTTGACAGTTAATATATATTGTTTGATTTTGAAATTTTTATCATGTGTAAAATGTTAAATAATACATCTTTTATGGGTAGTTTATTAAGTTTTTTTTTAGTAAATTTTTTTTTAAAATACCCTTGGGCACAAATCGATTCTTTAAAATCTAGTTTTCATTAATTTTCAACTTGCTTTGTCTAATCATTCTTTAAAAGGTGTGGTTTTTATAGTGCCGAGGCTCTAAACAATCAAAATAAAGCGCACCTTCAAATAGTGTCAAAAAACTGTGGTTTCAATAATGGAAATCGTTGTGATTAACCTTAACATATATTTTCATGCCTAATTATAAAATTTATAATCAAGTAGATCTATGAAAACTTGAAAATCTTGAAAATAGACTGTCCAAAAATGTGTTACTAGATGTACTATTTCCAAAATTTGAAATCCATTTTTTTTTCAAATTCATGCATCTTGATGTCAAGATGATCAATTTGAGGATATTTGGGCATCAAAACAACATCTTCTAGTGAAATTTTTGAAGTGGGCTCTAATTTGATTGTTTAGAGCCTCGGCTCTATATAAACTTTTCGCTTCCTTAAATATACATTTCATATTTTATTAACTTTTTTAATATATTTTTTATGTTTTTAATACTTTTTTGTCCGCCTGGAACTTGCCCAGTTAGAACGGTTGAACTGACCAGTTGACCACTTAGGCTGGCAGAATCGCTTTCGGGCCCATGTCTAGTTAACCGTTCCGATTCAATTTTTCCTACACTAGTTGAAATTATAATTATCAAATTGAAGAATAATAATATATAGGCAAACCAAAACATCGGTAATAAATTGGTTTTATTTTAAAAAGTCAAAGGAGAAAATCAGGTCAAATCGCCCAAAAATACGGCAATTTATAGCATCGTGAATGTTTTAGACTTGGCTCAAAAAAATTGAGTAAACAAATCGGACACATAAAATGATATAATATAGGATTATGAATTGCAATTATTCTATAGATACATCAAATCTATTGAATAATAATTTTATGGCCTTTGAGTGATACAAGATAATTTTTATCAAAACTCTCAATAAATCCAATAATAATACTAACTCTGTTGTCACAGTACAAATCATATAATATATTTATTGGGAGCATAAAATGAAACAACAACAAGAATATTAAACACAAGAACTATATGAGTAAATAACATGAACTGTAAACCAAAGTATATGACTCCACTTCGTAGAAAAAAATAAAGAAGACTTCGAGAATAGGATTATAATTAACTAAAATAAAATATAAAGATCCAAATATATAAAATAATGGTCCATTCAAATTGCTATGTTATATACACTACTGAAATTAAAAATAAAAAATAAAAAATCAAAATATGAAATTCATTAGACTTCTCTATGCATAAAAAAAGCAACAAAATGCTTAAACAAATTCGATTCTCACATTTATTTCTTAGCTGCCTAAATCTTTGGTATTATTGAATCTCTTGATTACTCTGTATTGATGATTGTATAGCTCACTTTCCTAACTGTAGAGATTTACTTTAACTGTCCTAGTTTGTAGAGATTGATTTGGCCATATCTACTTTTCTAGTTGATAAAGATTCACTTGGCCATATTTGTAATCATGGGATATTGTTGTATATTTTTATTCCAGTTGTATATTGTTATATATAGCTCGATATCAATAGAAAAAAGCATCAAATTCTCACATCTTTTTCCCATTTACAAATTTTACGTGGTATCGGAGCAGTAAAGTCCATAGCAAACCTGCTTGTCATCTCTCTTCTTCACCTTCAAGCCATGGCACACAATGGAAACAATGCAAACTCGCAATCAGGTAACGAGTCTCAGTTTTCACTTGAAAGTAGTAATGCTTCTGCCTCCGACTTATCTTCTCCTTATTATCTCCATCACTTTGACGATCTGAGAATCGTACTTGTCTCTAAACCTCTTTTTGGAGACAACTACAACGCGTGGAGAAAAGCCATGACCGTGGCTCTAGAAGCAAAAAATAAATTGTTCTTTGTAGATGGTTCATTTCCCAAACCATCTGAACCACTTACTGCTATCAAGACGGGAGAGATGCAACCACATAGTGGTTTCATGGTTACTCAGTGTACTCTCCAAAGATCTTGTAGATAATGTCGCATATGCGGACACCGCATATGAAATTTTGATAGATCTCGAGGACAGGTTTTCTCAAGGAAATGGTCCAAAGATCTATAATCTCAAGAGGAAGCTCTCTACAATCCAATAAGGGCAGTCCTCAGTGGCCTCTTACTTTACTTTTATAAAGGCCATCTGGGACGAACTAGCCTCGTACGCGAAAATTCCTACTTGCACTTGTTGATCGTTTAAAAAGATGCATGCCCAACAACAACTCGAACAAGTGTACCAGTTCCTAATGGGACTGAGTGACTCGTTTGGGACCGTTCGTAGTCAAATCTTGGCTATGGACCCGCTTCCCAATATCAGCAAAGTTTACTCATTAGTCTTACAAGAAAAACATAAAATGGGAGCAAATTTGTCAACCCTTGCAAGGAGAAGCAGCTGCTCTTGCGGATCATTCAAATTTGGAGAAGAGAGGGTGTTATGGCGGAAAGAAGCCGCGTCCATTTTGTGAGCATTGTGGTCGTGAAGGCAACATCAAAGCAAAGTGTTACCAGTTATTGGGGTATCTTGTTGGTCATCCCAAGGCCAAGGATCAGCCACATGCTCATAACTCAGCCATGCAATCAGCCAACCATGGCCAGCAGAACATCAACTTCGGGTGTAGAGTTCGTTAGCAATAGTGCAGTTGTCTCGGGTTCATCTAAGATGAACTTTCCTTCCATAAACCGGAGCCATTATCAACCGTTGATGTCTATACTGAATGTTAAAACCCAACCAATTGTTGCAAATTTTGCATGTATGGAAGTTTGTCTTTACATTCCCAAAAACAATGATGACTCATGGATCATTGATTTTGGAGCATCCAACCAATTGACTTGTTCCACTTCTAGGCTATCAACTTGTGTTCCAAATCATAATGGTAAACATGTTGGCATGCTTAATGGTAGAACTACTTCCATTACTCATATAGGCCAATTCAGCTTGAGTCCAACTATTAGCCTAGATAATGTTTTCTATGTTTCAGCTTTTAGTTACAATCTTCTCTCAGTGAGCAAATTAACTAGTTCCATATACTGTGCTGCTATATTTTTCCCTACCTTTTGTGTCTTTCAAGACCTGAGCACGAGGAAGCTAATTGAAGCTAGTGAGGTGCGATACGGTTTATATCACTTCGTTTCCAATGTCCCTAATAATTTCACTGCCTTACCTGCTATTCAGAGTCATTCTATTGAGTTATGGCATAAGAGGCTAGGGCATCCTTCTCGGCACCGGATGTCTAGTTTGCATTTTTCAAATTTAAACTTTTCTCCATGTTCTATTTCTTTTTGTGAAGCATGTACTTTGGCTAAACAGACTAGAGTTCATTTTCCTTCTAGTTTTAATAAATCTAAAGACCATTTTAACTTAATCCATTGTGATATATGGGGTGGATACTCCACTCTATCCCACTCAAGAGCACATTATTTCTCGACTATTGTAGACGACTGTTCACGATGCACATAGGTTTACTTGATGAGGTTCAATTCCGATACTAATCGTTTTCTAAAGGTTTTTTTGCAAATGGTACAAACCCACTTCAATTGTCGTATTCAACATATTTGAACCGATATTGCAGCTCAATTCTTGTCTCACACTATGCAAACCTTTTTTCAGCAACGTGAGATCCTCCACCAGCGAACATATATACATACACCCCAACATAATGGCATTGTTGAGCACAAACTCCATCACTTACTTGAAGTGGCACATGCTTTGTGCTTTCAGGCTCATCTTCCCATTAAAATTTGGGGTGAATGTATTTTAACTGCGGCATAGTTGATAAATAAAATTCCCATACCGATATTGTCTGGCAAATCTCCATGTGAAGTATTGTTTAAAACTCAGCCATCTTATGAACACTTACGTGTTTTTGGATGCCAATGTTATACTCATAATAGTGATATTGATAAACACAAATTTTATCCTAGGTCTAAGCAATATGTTTTTGTTTGACTTGCAAAAGGAGATCATTTTACTGGTCGAGATGTGATCTCCATGAAGATATGTTCCTTTTTCAAAACAAAATATGGAACTTGAGACCATTCCCACGGTTCTTCCCATGCATGTTGTGGACAATGACACTTTTGAAGTTCCATCTTTATGCCCACCTACTCCTGATATTGAGGTGCCACCTACTCATGAGTCACTTACCCCAGTTCCATCCCTGCCTGCTACACACATTCCTACTCTTACCCTCGTGCGTCATTCGGAACATGTCAGTTGGTGTCCCACTCGTCTTAATTATTACTTGTGTTCCCAAACTCACGCACACTCGTCTCTCACCAATAAGGCTTCACTCAAGCAACCTCTATCATGCATTGTTTCTCCTGATAAACCATGTTTCATTTCCAATTTTATTTCGGATTCCATAATGAACCACGAACTTATGCACAAGTTGTGAAACACTCCCACTAGCATGATTCCATGGAAGCTGAGCTTAAGGCTCTTGATCTCAACAACACTTGGATTGTTTAATTCTTGCCACCCTAGAAACACCCGATTGGTTGTAATGGGTGTACAAGATTAAGTACAAGGCAGACGGCACTATCGATCGCTACAAAGCACGTCTTGTCACGAAAGACTATACCCAAATGGAAGTGTTGGACTATCATGAGACATTCTCTCCCACGACAAAGTTAGTTACTGTGAGATGTCTTTTAGCCATAATTGCTGCAAAGGGCTGGAAATTGCATCAATTAGATGTCAATAATGCATTTTTCCATAGGGATTTGCATGAAGAAGTATACATGGAACTTCCACAAGGTCATCCTCGTAAGGGGAGCATCTAGTTTGCCGATTATAGAAGTCTTTATATGGCCTTAAACATGCCTCTCGAAATTGGTTTGACAAATTTTCCCAACCTCCCCGTGATGTCGGATTCAAACAATCCATTGCGGACTATTATCTGTTCACATCCAATGTCGTTCACTCTTTTACAGTTGTTCTAGTTTATGTTGATGATGTGATTTTCACTAGCAATGATGCCAATGTTATTTCCTCATTGAAAGCATTTTTGCAATTTCAGTTTCATCTCAAAGATCTTGGATTGCTAAAATACTTTCTTGGCATCGAGGTCGCACGATCCACTGGAGGGATCCTTCCCACACAAAGGAAATACGCCTTGGACATTTGTCTAAAACTGGCTTCTTTGGTTGCAAGCCAATATCCTTCCCCATTGAGCAACATCACAAACTTAATAATGATACAGGTCAACTCTTAACATATCCAGGACAATATCGTCGTCTAGTGGGATGACTCATATACCTTGTAACACACGGCTCGACATTACTTATGTTGTGCACATCTTGGGCCAGTTCATGCACAAACCATGGACACCTTATCTTGAAGCAACTCATCATGTTTTACGTTATTTAAAACACACACCCGCACAAGGAATTTACTTTCCTCCACCAACAACATGCAACTATCCGCGTTTTGCGATTCCCACTAGGCGAGTTATCCAAGGACCCAACATACCACAATGGGATATATAACTTTTCTTGGCAACAATCTTATATCATGACTCACTAAGAAGCAAAAGGTCATATCTCGTTTTTCTGCAGAAACAGAATATCGCTCCATGGCTACCACTGCTTGTGAGCTCCCTTGGCTCAAGTATCTTCTTGTTGACCTAGGCATAAGACACTCGCAATCCATGCTCCTCTATTGTGACAACCAAGCAGCACTACACACTGCAGCAAATTTCGTCTTTCATGAAAGGACGAAACATATCGAGTTAGATTGCCACTTTGTTCGAGAGAAAATTCAAAATGACCTTGTAAAAACAGCTTATCTCTCTACCAAAAATCAACTTGTAGATATTTTCACCAAGCTCTTGGACGGGACCAATTTCATTATTTATGAAGCAAGCTGGATGTCTCGTTCCTCCACAATCCAGCTTGAGGGGGAGTATTGAGGATTGTATAGCTCACTTTTCTAATTGTAGAGATTGATTTGGCCATATCTACTTTCTTGGTTGGTAGAGCTTCACTTGGCTATATTTGTAACCTTCTAGATTGTAGAGATTTATTATTCATCATCCCCTCAATTAAGGGATATTGCTGTATATTTTTATATGAGTTGTATATTGTTATAAATAGCTCAATATCAATAGAGAGACACCAAATTCTCGCATCTCTTTCCCATTTACGAATTTTACACTCTTTATAAGGATGTTCGGGGTTTGAAGGGAAATTTTTTTTCCATTGAGTTACTCTTCATCTAACTCTACTTGTTATTATGAGATATACAATTTTATTTTGATATCATAGTTTTTTAGGAAATTATATTGCTTGTATTTTTTGTACAATTTTTTTTAAGGGAACTTATTATTAGAACTTTTGATGGAATGTTTGCTAAATCAAGATTATTATTTAGTCTTATTGTTTATATGCATATCTTTAAACCAAAATTCAATAATATCAAGTTAATGAAAAAATAAATTTATAAGGAAAAAAGTTTTTTTGAAATAAAGATAAAATACGGATTTATATTAGTTCCATTAAAAAAAACGTGATTTTTTTAAAATCTCTTAAAAAAACTCGAAGTTCTTGAAAAAAAAATCGTGTTTTAAAAAGAGCCTTGCTAACTACGGTTGAAATGTAATGTTCCAATTAATCAATACAAATTAGTACTCTTGTATAAAAAAAAAAATTGATGTAAAATACTTTTTCCAAGTCAATCATTCGGACGGGGCATTCTCTCTCTCTCTCTCTGGAAGGATAACGTGTGGATATGGAGGAGACGTGGCGTCCCGTCCCGTCCCGTCCCGTTCCGTCCGCGAAAATTTGAAAACGTGAACGAGGCCATCTTTGAAATATGGAAACAGAAAACGTGAACGAGGCGCCGCGTCAAACCTTTTTTTCATTCCATTTAATTTGTCCATATCGGCAGGCATTTTGAATCAATCAACTAACCACTCTTCCTTATAAAATCTCAACCCTAGCATTGTTATCTTTTTGAAGGGTGAACAATCAACTTCATTACATTTTTTTTGTTTAATAAAAAGCCAATTTATCAAAATACATATAAGATCTATATTGTTTGTTTGATTTTATGTAAAATGTTAAATAATACATCTTTCATGGTATTTTTTTTGGGTTTCTCATCTCTTAATAAAATTCTTTCGCAATTAATTTTCTTAATTACCATTGGAGTATGTCATGTCTATCAGCCAACCAATCATCCCCCATCTCTTAAAAGAAAAGCAGCTAACAATTCCATATCTTTCAATTTATATCATAATATATTAATTGAAATAGAAAAGTTTCTATTAGGTGTAAATTTGTAAGAGAAATGATTTTATAAAACCTTCTCCCATCCATGTGTGTAGGATCCCTAAACGATCACTATTAAAGTTGGTACGAATCTCTAAAAAAATCAAATCTCGCACCCATGTGATAACTTTTCTAGAGATCTTTGCCAACTTTAATGGTGATCTTTTGAGGTCCTACACACGTGAATGGGGGAAGGTCTTATAAGATCATCACTCATTTTATAATAGAATTAAGTTTATCTAATAAAACATTATCTAGACCACTTATTTTCAAAAACTTTTTAAGTGTTTATATATAAGAATATACTATTAATTGGTATAATTATTATTATTAAGCATCCAAAAGGCAGTTGTAAGTGATACTCAATCCAACCGTATCCGGTTCATCAATCGTCAATTGAACTAAATTAAATTACTTTAGGGGGAGAAAGACGTGGCGCCCCATCTCCTCCTTATCTTCTGCATTTTACAGCAATAGAAAGGGGGAGTGCCCCCTTTTTTGCATGACTCTTATCAGGCATTAATATTTCGATTCATCAACGGCTAAATATTTTGTTCTTATAATTAGTTTTGTTATCAAACGATGCCCATCTCCATCCATTACCCATGAAGACCCAATTTAAGAATGGTGTGGTTTGTATAAGGCTGAGGCCCTAAACCATCAAATGTAAGACGCGCCATCAAATAGTATCGAAAAATATAATTTTAACAATGAAAATCATTGTGATAGCTTAAAAATTTATTTTCATCTCTAATTATAAACTTTAAACCTCCAAAAACAGTGCAGATCAAACAAATCTATGAAAACTTGAAAATCGATAATCCAAAAATACATTACAAGATGCACTATTTTTAAGATTTTTTTTTTTTTCCAAGTCTGTACATCTTAATGTTGAGATGATCAATTTGAAGATTTTTTAACATTGAAACCTCTTCTGTAAATTTTTTAGGTGCGCTTTAATTTGATTGTTTAGGGCCCCACCTTTATAAAAACTTTTTCCATCTAAGAATCGGCAATAGCGTAGTGTACAGAATTCCCTCTCCACTTTTTGTTGGTTTGGTTGAATCCGCACTTTTGGGAACGAATAAGACTCCCAAAAAAAAAAAAAAATCTCTCAGAAGAAAATAGAGTTAGAAAAAGCACAAACAAGGTTCATCTCTCCCTCTCCCTCACACTCTGTCTAAAAAGATGGTAGGGTTAGGGTGGGGGTGGTGCGGAGGGAGGTGAACCTTTGGAGATCAAAGTTATGCTTTCGCATAAGAGCCATTCGCCGAGCATTGAACCTGAAAGAGAACAACCCCTCCATGGAAGGCTCCTGTGAGGTGGCCATGAACAAAGCATAGGCCCCTAAACCATATAGAGAGGTCAGATAAAAGCAAATGGGTTCCATCAAATCCCATGAAAGATCCCAAAATGTGAGCCTAAAGAGCCCCAAGCTCTGAACCACAACCACCCCCAGCCCACACCAGAGTTCCCTCTTTGCGAGCTTCTTGGCCCGCCCCTCGATCTCTCTCAATTCTCTCTCTAACCTCTCCAGCTCTTTTCTCTCCTCTGATCTCGTTGTCCCTCTCATCAGCACCTCTTCCATCTGCAACATATAAACCACAGGATTAGGGCGGGCAACCCACTCATAAAACATGGTAGAGAGAGAAAATCCACATAAATAGAGAGAGAGAGAAAGAGCGCTATGACAGGACCTGTTGTTGGATCTGCTCTGGGTGGAGAAAGACTCTGTTGCCTGCTATAAGGACAGTACCTGACTCATCTAGAGACTCAATAAGGTGGTCAATACCATGCTTTTGGGAAGATGGGTGGTGGTGCTTTTTGCAGAGATCAATGAAATCATTGTAAGAGAGAGTGTTTTGGGGACAATCCTTGAGTTTCTTCCCCAGGGACTCCAAAATGAGACCCTCTTCTTCTTCCTCTGTCTTCTTCCTCACACCCATTCTTATTTGTTCAATGACATGAGGTACAGATGGGAGAAGGCTATCTTTCATGGAGCCTCTCATCTTTTGGCTCCAAGAATCTCGTCCTAGGGGTAGAGGTAGAGGTAGAGGTAGAGGTAGAGAGAGAGAGGAGTTTTTGTTGGTGTGGGGAAGGTGCACCGAATGATGCATCTGTTGCAAAAGGCGTGGGGGTTGTTTCTCTCTTTCAGAGCAAGGAGGGGAATATAATAATGAAGATGAGTAGGAATAGCATTGTTTCTCTCTCTTCAAGGAATGGAAGAAGATTCCTCTGGCAGGAGGTGAGAGGAGGCGGAGAGCAGAAGACATGGATGAAAATGAGAGCATAGGATTAATGGAGGAGGAGAGATGACCTGTATATTTATTTATAGTGTGAGAGGAGAGGGGTAGATGGCTGTTGCAAAAGCGTAAGCGTGTGCGTGCACCAATCCTATATAACCACTTCCTTCTACGTGTTGCCTGCGATTAGCTGCAAAACCAAACACTCCAATTTTATACTGACCGACAAACAACCAACCATCGCACACAAAATTCTCTCAAACATATAAAGAGACATACGGGAATGAGACCATTTACCTTTAGTACCACTGCAATTATTCTATTGATCAAGCTTAAACTTTAAAATTTTTTTTTGCTAAGCTATCAAATTTCAAATCGTCCGATAGTCGTAAGTAATTGTAACTACCTTATATTAAAGATAAATAGTCTCATTGTATATAATCCTATTATTTATATACTCTCACATTTTTTTGACAATCATTGCCTATTATTTTATAATACAATTTTTTCTTTAGTTCGGCAATTTTTTGGGAAATTAGAAGGGTAATAATAAATATTTTTACAACAAACTAGTGACATTTTATTAACGGTTAAGAAGCAATCATCTATCAATTTAAGTAATGTCATACCTCATGTAGAAGATGTCATCATCCAT